AAAAAAAAAAAAAAAGAGTTTGCAACCAGCCTGAGCAACATGATGAGACCTCATCTCTACTAAATACAAAAACAAAAAATTATTCAGGCATGGCAGTGCACAACTGGAGTCCCAGCTACTAGAAACGCTGAGGTTGGCAGATGGCTTGAAGATCAAGACTGCAGAGAACTATAATCACACCACTGCACTCCAGCCCAGGTAACAGAGCAAGACCCTGTCTCAAAAGAATAATAAAATTAAACAAAATAATAATAAAATAACAGAAAATTACAATATGATTAAGACTATCACGTGGGTGTCTGATAACAGCCTCATGAAGTTCTTGTTATTCCTGAAAAAAAGAGAAATTTCTTCCTTATTCAACTTGGCGTAGAAAAGAGAGAACATTCCCAATTTCATAAGACTCATCATTAACTTGACTTTTGAAATGCAACATGTCAAATCCGAGTCCAGAGATTAACAATCACAGACAGAAAGCCCTGGCGAGCATGGAGTTCTCCACTAGGGGGCGAACTCGACCTGTTCGTCCACAGAGCTGGAGCAATGACAGACCTGACAGGAGAACACGTGTTCGCTCTCTTTCTCAACGGAAGGAAGAAGACATCAGAATTAAGAGCCACTGCCTATTCTTATCGTCAGTATGGACGTAAGTTTCATTCACCTAGGGTTACTTGAAGAGTCTGAAGGCGTCTTTTATGTTTGATGGGTTGTGTGTGATCATTTGTTGGATTATTATTTGTGAGGAAAAAGCACAATTATCAAATTTTTGACCAACGCAGTTCCATTTCCAGACTTCTTTTGAACTTTGGAACTATTAACTGTGATAGGAGCAGCCGCCCGTTACAAGAGCAATTCTCCCGTCCTTCCATGGTGTAGGCTCAACCCAAGCTGCCAATCAAGCATGTTCTGGGCTTGGTAAAAACCCTTCTTAAAGGAGTGCAGAACCAAGAAACTTTGACTTGGTGCTCAAGAAAAAGTTGAAGTCTTACCTCTTCATAATTGTCTGTGTTTTGGAGACTCTAACATTGACATGAGCCTTTGATTACATGTTAATAGCACCTTATTGCTGGGACTGACACTAGATTCCATTCAGTGGACCTATGATCATCCATAGCTACAGCTGTGTCCACAGACCTGGGAACACATTTTCCAAGACACTTCACTTCTCAGAATGGTAATTTCCCCACTCCTCCTACTATCAAGATGTTTTGCACCATTGATTTTTT